AAATCAGGCCTTTCACCTCGTTCCTGAGCTGATATTTCAGAAGTGGTTATTCACTTTAAGAATCCTCTGCTGTGTCTCTCAACACTGGGGAGCCTTCTCCTGCATCCTGGTGAGCTTTGGGGCCTTTTCCCCCAGTGTGAAAAGCTGTGAGTTCAGATAGGAGACTCATTTCAATGCCAGCCAGAGCAAACAGTACAAAGAAGGTGGCAGATGCACAGAACCCTTTTCAAATCCAAATGAGAGTGGCTTTTGAATTAACCAGTTTGAGCTATCTGCCTCTCTCCAAATAGTGTCAATAATGAACGAACAGGCTGAATGTTATCAGACCCGTGGACGTTCCTCCTTACCTAGGATGGATCACAGCAGATACCCAGAACTTATTAGGATCAGAATCTGTCCGTAACCAAAGTGGAAATGTGAAGAATTATTCAGTCAGTTTAATTCATCCTTCCTTTACAACCTGTTTCAGATGTTTCTCCTCTTTTCCATTCACGACGTTACCACCCTAAGCTGTAGCAGCTTCCTAATTGGCATACTTGCTTTTGGCCTTTCCTTCCTTCCAATCCATCCTCCTCTTCGTTACTGATCATCTTTAAAACACTACTTTGTTCACATTACCATCCAGCTCAAAAACTTTAATGATTCTCCAATGCCTTCAGGCACAATTTCTACACCTGCACCACCCTCCCTTCCCAGCTTATCTTCAATTTTTCTTTTAGGCAAGTTTTGTGCTCCAGCTGAGTGGGTGTATTTTCTTACCTCTAAGAGATACATCATACACTTTTTTGCCTCAGTACTTTTCCCATATCATTTCTCTGCCTAGAATATCCTTCTCTTTCCTCTAGTTTGTGCTTTTTTAAAAGGAGCCCACTTTTCCACTCCAGTGCTGCCTCTTCTGTGATCCTGCCTGCATGCCAGGATGTGATCTAGCCCATCTCTGCACTGCCGCTCTTGTCTGTGTAACACTTCAGGCATGTGGCCTGCGCTGTCTGTTCTCTACTAGTCTGTGTGCAGTGGTTTCTCCCATATGATCCAGCAAGATCATGAAAGACAAGAATCACACGTTATTCATCTTGTATTCCTTATGTTACTTGACTGTATCCTGTGCATTGAAGGGAGGCCGCGAATACTGGTGAACCTAAAGGAAATAGGAAGGTTGGGTAGATTTCAACACCACTACCCCCCCATTTGTATTTAATATGATTCCTCCATTCTTCTGCTTTTGGCTCTCTGTGTTCTCTCTCTCCCTCANTCCGTAACCAAAGTGGAAATGTGAAGAATTATTCAGTCAGTTTAATTCATCCTTCCTTTACAACCTGTTTCAGATGTTTCTCCTCTTTTCCATTCACGACGTTACCACCCTAAGCTGTAGCAGCTTCCTAATTGGCATACTTGCTTTTGGCCTTTCCTTCCTTCCAATCCATCCTCCTCTTCGTTACTGATCATCTTTAAAACACTACTTTGTTCACATTACCATCCAGCTCAAAAACTTTAATGATTCTCCAATGCCTTCAGGCACAACTTCTACACCTGCACCACCCTCCCTTCCCAGCTTATCTTCAATTTTTCTTTTAGGCAAGTTTTGTGCTCCAGCTGAGTGGGTGTATTTTCTTACCTCTAAGAGATACATCATACACTTTTTTGCCTCAGTACTTTTCCCATATCATTTCTCTGCCTAGAATATCCTTCTCTTTCCTCTAGTTTGTGCTTTTTTAAAAGGAGCCCACTTTTCCACTCCAGTGCTGCCTCTTCTGTGATCCTGCCTGCATGCCAGGATGTGATCTAGCCCATCTCTGCACTGCCGCTCTTGTCTGTGTAACACTTCAGGCATGTGGCCTGCGCTGTCTGTTCTCTACTAGTCTGTGTGCAGTGGTTTCTCCCATATGATCCAGCAAGATCATGAAAGACAAGAATCACACGTTATTCATCTTGTATTCCTTATGTTACTTGACTGTATCCTGTGCATTGAAGGGAGGCCGCGAATACTGGTGAACCTAAAGGAAATAGGAAGGTTGGGTAGATTTCAACACCACTACCCCCCCATTTGTATTTAATATGATTCCTCCATTCTTCTGCTTTTGGCTCTCTGTGTTCTCTCTCTCCCTCACAATTTAACTGTTTCTGTTAACGGGATATCATTCTCCTACCTATCATGTTCGAAATCTCAGGGTTATTTGTATCAGAATATCTACAGTATAACAAATTCGTCTGAGGAGCTTCTGACAAAAGGCAACAGCCTCCTGCCCCACCCTAGTTTCACTTCCCAGAGGCAAACCTCTTTTAACCAGCCATCTTTGATTTTAACCTTTATAACTAATAAGATGAATTTGAAATGGAAACCAAATTGACCTTATACCACAATAGAGTAAATATGGTGGTCCTCATGATTGAACAGGGCAATAGAGTATGTTGAATTATTATACTCTGCCCCAAAGAAATGGATCAAGTGCAAGAAACACTGAATATAGAAAGGTAATTTCTATATAAAAATCCACAAATATAAGAGTAAAAACAAGATAGAGTTTCGGTGAGGATAAGACAAAAACAAAATTTTCACGTTGTGATGTGCCTATAGACAATCCAATTAAAAGAATACAAGTAATGTTTTCCTCTTGTGGGTTTCAAAATTTATAAGGGGTCAAGACATGGTGATAGGAAAGCTTAATCATCTTGACATCTGGAAGAACTTTGTTTCTTCTTAAAGCAAAACTTTTTTTTAGATTCTTTTGTTTTTCACTTTTTACACTTCAGTAGTTTTTAGTGTATTATTCTCAAGGTTGTGCAGCCATTGCCACTAATTAGTTCCAGTACATTTTTATTACCCCAGAAAGAAACCCATACCCATTAGCAGTCACTCCTCATTCTCCCCTTCCCTCAGCCCCTGGCAACAACTGATCTATTTTCTCTCTATCTAGATTTGCCTGTTCTGGACATTACACATAAATGGATCGTACAATATGTGGTCTTTTGTGACTGGCTTCTTTCCCTTAGCATAGTGTTTTCAGGATTCATCTATGTTATAGCATCAGCATTTCATTTCTTTTTATGGCTGAATATTCCATTGTATTTATATACCACTTTTATTTACCGTTCATCAGTTGATGGACATTTGGATTGTTTCCAGTTTTTGGCTATTATGAGTAATGTTACTATGAATATTCAAGTGCAAATTTTGGTGTAAACATATGTTTTCAGTTCTCTTAATTGTATACATGGGAGTGGAATGGCTGGCTTATATGGTGCCTTGTTTTACTCTGGTTTATGCTGCTGTAACATGATACTACAGACTGGGTAATTTCTAATGAATAGAAATTTATCTGGCTCTCAGTTCTGGAGGCTGGGAAGTCCAAGAGCATGGCACCAGCACCTGGAGAGGGCCTTTGTGCTGTGTCTTCCCATGGCAGAAGGTGAAGGGCAAGAGAGTGCATGAGACAGAGGACGGAGGCCAAACTTATCCTTTCGTCAGGAACCCACTCCTGTGGTAATTAACCACTTCCACGATACCAGCATTAATCCATTTAGCAGTTTCACCTTTTAATACCATAACAGTGGCAATTAAATTTCAACATGAATTTTGAAGGGGACATTCAAACCATAGCACACCTCTTTGTTTAACTTTTTGAGAAATTCCCAAATTGATTTTCAAAGTGGCTACACCATTTTACATTCTCACCAGCAAGGTACGAGGGTTCCAATTTCTCCACATCCTCGCCAATGCTTGCTGTTGTCTGTCTTTTTTATATAGCCATCCTAGGGGTGTGAAGTGACATCCATTGTGGTTTTGATATGCATTTAACAAAGTGTTGAGAAAATACTTTTTTATACAGGTAATTTTATCCCTAAAAGTGAAAGAAGCCATGAGAGAAACGGGACTTAACTCTTCTTAACAAAAGAGAATTAAGCAGTAATGAATGTGATTGGAGCCTCAGCTGAACTACATTATGTCTTCTTGGAATTCAAATAGCAAAGAAAGGGAGGGAACACTGGGGTTGTCAGGTACCTTAGACTGAGAAAAGCAGAATCTAAACAGTTCAGAGAAAAGATGATCATGATTCTGTTTCCAAGACTCTTAAGGGGAATATAACTCATATGTGGTGGAAATTTTAGAAAGATTTAGTTTTTCATATATAATGATAAATAATCCCCTGTGGAATGAATATAACGATATATCTTAAGAAACCTGTTCACCTACACAAAGGGCTCAATAAGCTCATATCTACAAAAAATACATGCAATAAATACAAGGAATATTAGTAATGAAGGGAAAATATGGAAGATTATAATGAGATTGTAAGAATAATATCAAAAAAGCTAAATCCTAAAGACTTGTAAAATGTGCTAAAAACACCAGAAGGTCTTTCTAAAAATTTTATTCAGAGTATGGCTCATTGATCAGGAGAAGATGGTATAATATTTTTTTTTTTTTGTCTTTTTGTCTTTTTCCGTGTCCGGCAACGGATCGCAACCCTCAGTGTTGCCCCCGTACCGGACCGGGGACCGGCAACGGGATTGCAATCCTCGGCGTTGCTCCCGCGCCTCGCTCAGCCAGTGAGCGGGAACCGGTCTGTATGTGGGATCCGAACCCTCGGGCGGGAGCGCCGCCGCACTTCCCAAGCGGCGCACTATCCAGTGCGCCACCGGGCCGGCCCAAGATGGTATAATATTAACTGAGCAAAGAAAAAAATGAAGGAAGATGGGGGGAGAGAGATAGGGGAAGAAGAAGGAAGAAAGAGGTACGGAGGGAAGAAAAATAGAATTATTGAACCCCTCTTTTTTTAACCTGTCTTTTCCAGCAGATTACATAGGATTCAAAATGGAAAGAGCAGAGCACATATTAGGGGACAGCTGAAGCCCAAAATAAGTGAGAGGTCAGTTCTAGATTTCCAGACCCAGATGAATTATCCCCAAAGTCTCCCTTTTGTTCACAAAATCATGTCCAAAGTGAACCTATCATTCAAGAACTGCTACAGTCTGACTTCCACTTTATTAATCTATATAAATTACTTTCTTTGGTGGCAAGATTTGAGTTTCAAGCTGGCTGAAGTTATGAAAGGGAAAAGATATTATATGGCTATGCATGGAAATAAAGAAGATAAAAGCCATATGGCTGGACTCACAGGAACCCAGAAAAAGCCGAATGACTCAGCCCTGTGGGAAGAACAAGAAATACAGTATCATCTCACCTCTGGGTTTGAAACCTGGGATGTGACCTGAGACTGATAGCAGCTCAAGCAGCCAAATTAGCTGGTCATCTCCTCAGAGCAGGGGATCAGGGATCTCTATAGTGTTCCACCATTACTGTGATTCAGCTTCCCTTTTCTTCTTCCTCTGTTTTCACTTCTACTCTGCAACCGACCACCCAGACCCGTGTTACTGCAGTTCAAATCCCCAGAAAAGCAACCTCAATTGACCCAGCATATTGCTACTGTTTGTTTAGACAGAGCTTTTAGGCCAGGAGACCTCAGAAGTCACTGGCCACATATTGATGGGCTGCCCTTGTGGGACAAGTTTTTATCTCTGATCTCATCAGCTGTGGCCAGGCATGTGGCCTGTCACAAGGTGCCACCACAGTCACCCGTATATAAGAAACCATTTCAGACTGTTCTCAATGGAGACCAGGTCCATGGTTGGTGTCTCAGTGGGCTTGTCCAGTTTTTGGACAAAATTTATCATCTCATTCTTCCCAATATAAACCCTCAACTCTTGCTGGTCTGGCTTTTCTCACTTCCAGACAAAAGATCTGCTCATTCATGCACTCATTCATCCCTTCGGCATTTATGGTATACTTACTGTTTTCTAGACCCTGGAGACATGCAAATGAATAAGAAATAATACCTTTTAGGGCTCCGGTGATTTTCTGCTTCAGTTTCCCTCCGTTTATCTAGATAACTAGAAATCTAGATTGTAGCATGGTCCAAACCTTGGACCTACCTTCCTTCAGTCCAAAAAATAACTTTGTTTCTTAGAACACTATTTAAATATTCTTTTCTTTCCCTTAAAACCTATCAGACTTCCCTAATAGATTTTAGAGTATGAAAATCCAAACTCAAGTAGCAGGTGTTTGTTTCAATCTCCCTTTCATTTCCATATCTTACCCAACTTAGTCCCTCCTCCCACATGAGACCTTTTCTATCCGTGTCAGCCCGCCTTCATTTTTTCCCATTTTAAAATTCTGCAGTGTTAACTATACATACTTCTCATTTTGACATTCAATTACATAATGCCTTGAGTTATTTAATCTTGTCCCCTCTAGAGATTATAGACTGTTTGGGGGAAATGAACTTCTATTTTTACGTTTGGTTTACCCCCCAAACCTGTCCCTACAGGCCTCTATATAGTGCTATGGACAGAGTAGGTGTTGAACAGACTCTTGCTAGGAGTGAAATTAGCCCCATACACATGTCAGAGTCCCACCTTACTGAGCCCTATAATAGACACCAACCTCATTAACCCTTTTCTCTCTCTCTCTAATGGAAACTAAAGACAAGATCCTGGTGGTGAAAGGGACAGAGTTTACTCTTAAATCTGGTACTTGCGTTTCTTTAGATCCTAGTATGTACCAACTTACGTGATGTTTAGAGCTGAATTCAGGCTGGTACAGTGAAGGGAGAGAACTGGGAATGAAGGATCAGAAGCAAGCAGGCTGCCACTGGTAGTATGAGCATGGGCCAGCCCTAAGCCTCTCTAAGCTTCAGTTTTTTTCATCTGTGGCTCAAAGAGACCCATACCACCTCCCTTGACTTACTTCCTAAGGATATTTTAAGATTCAAATGAATCCGAGGTGCAATGTTAACATACTCTGTAAACTGGTAAAGCACTGTATTAATGTAAAAGATTTTTCCATCGAGAATAATAATAACGGCTAGCACTGATGGCTTACTGAGTTCCTGTGAGTGCTTACTGCGTTCCAGGCACTGTTGTAAGCATTCGACGTCACAGCTCATTTAATACACTGATGGCTTACTGAGTTCCTCCTGTGGTTACTGTGAGTGCTTACTGCGTTCCAGGCACTGTTGTAAGCATTCGACGTCACAGCTCATTTAATGCTCCCAGCAGCCCCACAGTGTAGGTACTATCATGGTCTCTATTTTGCGGATGAAGGAAATGAGGCACCGAAGGTATAGATAATTTGCTCAAGATCTTCCAGCTTGTAAGTGACAGCTGGGATATAAACCCAGGTGATCTGGCTATAGGTATCTATGGCTGCTGTAAAGAGGAAAAGGGACTTGGGTGAAGGGGCATGAGAACAAATGTAATCTAGTAACTTCCGACCATCTTTTGGGCAGCAAACAAAGGAGAAGGTGAAGCTTCTGATTCAGCTGGCCGATAGTTTTGTGGAAAAAGGCCACATTCATGCCACAGAGATAAGGAAGTGGGTGACCACAGTGGACAAACACTACAGAGACTTCTCCTTGAGGATGGGGAAGTACCGGTACTCCCTGGAAAAAGCCTTAGGAGTCAACACAGAGGTAGGTATAGGGTATTGCCCACTGGGGTGCCCTCCTCCCCACCTTCCTTGGCACCCCCCCTCATCACCACAGAAGAAAAGAGCATTTCCAGAGCAATCCTCTGAGCCGTTGACCCCTAGAGCACTTGCCTTGTGTGGTTTTATAGTGGAGGGAATGGATCTTGCTGATCCTTCAGCTCCCTATGTTTAGTGCTCCATATATTGCAAAATTGGCTGGCCAGGAGTGGGGCCCAGGGCTGCACAGAGTCCTTCTCTGTGTACTCTGAGGACTAAACCCCTTATTTTGTCTTCATCAGTACCATCTTCCACCCAATTATGTTAATCAGCTAATGTTTAGAGTCCCGGTATGTATAATAGTGCTCTTGCCAGAATAAGGGATGCAGTTTGTGCAAAGACTATTTGACGTTTGAACTGAAATGAGGTACTGTTTGCCATGACGCCCAGGAAGACTGCCTTTTAATCTCTTCTTTGTAATAGGGGTCAGTAACCTATGAATTAAGAGCTAAATACAGCCCGGCAATTTAATCCTAGGATTTCTAATTCTTAAATCTTTAAATAGGCTCATGCTCTGAAGCAGAGCAACCTAGAGAGTGAAATGGTCAAACCTCTAAAAGATGAGGCAGTTAACGTCTCCCCCAGGCTTCAGTCTGTGAGGTTTTTTTCTAGGAGGTTCTATCATATATGAATACCAAATGGTGGTTGAAATAAGCGAGTATTATCAAATTAGAAAGTTGTCATTGTTCTGTCATTTAGCTTCCTATTTCCAAGAGAAATTGCTTGTTTAAATAAAAATATTTGGTTTGGTTATTTTCCTTTAACAAATGAAAGGTTTTTTAATGTCTTTATGTATTTGTTTCACATCTGTTTTAATGGGTAAGAATCAATCTTGGACTAATTTATGTGTGTGTGTTTAGATTTAATCAGCACCGAAGGCCTCAGGGAAATAGACACACAGTTATCAGATGTGTTCATTGTTTTTTCTCATTGTGGATATTAGACTTAAACACTTGACCTGAACATTTTATATCTTTCTTATTTAAAAAAAAAAAAGACCCTATGCAGAAGAATGCTTGTGGGTGGGAGTTTGTAGGATCCCTCACCTTTTCATGCCTCTTCATTATCTTTCTCTATTTTTCTTTTTTGCCACCTTCCTCCACTTGGGTGAGTTGCTTTCCCAGTGCATCCCCAGTGTGACCTCTGTGATACCTCTATGTGTAGGATAACAAGGACCTGGAGCTGGACATCATCCCAGCCAGCCTTTCAGATCGTGAAGTCAAGCTACGGGACGCCAACCATGAAGTCAATGAAGAGAAGCGGAAGTCAGCTCGGAAGAAAGAGTATGTGTTGGGAGCTCCCGCTGCCATTAGCAGTTTCCTCATGCCTCTGCTTGGTCTTCACTGCCACCCACCCCTTTTGATAGCTTAATATGTCCTCACGACCACCTACAGAGGTTGGAAGGGACAGACATGATGCTTCCATTGAGAATATGGGTTCACTCTGTGGACTTTTAAGTCTTTCCTATCTGTCCTTCACCTGAGTTCCCTTCATGTATCAGTAACTTCCTAGAGGAAACCTTTCTCTTGGATCATCAAATTTCACTTCACAGTCTCAGAAGTCAACATGGACCAAACCACATATATTCTCCTCCAAATTTAGTTCTCCTTTCTGATTTCCTAATTCTCATCAGTGGTGTCACTGTCCTAGTTTCCCAGCCTTGAAGCTGTGAGATAAGCTTTGACTTACCTCATTTCTATATCAATCCTTTCTTCAAAGTTTCTCTTGTCTCTAACACTTTTTTCCCATCCACTTAGACTTTTGTTTATAGTTGTCATTATCATAAGTCTGGATTATTTACAAAAATTTCCCCTAGCCTTCCTCTGCCAGCCTTTGCCCAGTTCATCTGCATGGTGATGCCAGGTTTACCTATTTGAGGTAGCATTTTATCATTACTAAAGCAATACTCTTCCCGCTACCACCACCTACAGTTTTTGTGTGCTAAACGTTATATAAACTGCCTTACACATGTTTTATTTTATTATCTTCCTGTCACTTCTCTTAAATAGCTATGATTATTCCCATTTTACCTATAAGAAATAAGACTTAGAAAAAGCTAAGCAGCTTTCCCCAAACCACACAGATAGGTAGTAATGGAGCCAGAATTTAAACCAGCACTGACTCTTCACCACTTTTCACATGGGAGAAAAAGAACAATGCAAGAAAACTCAAAGCAGTCAAAGACAGACTTTCAAAGCCCATCAGTTTATGTTTCTTCTCATCTTCCTAGTTTCATAGCAATCTACAGATCTTTTAATCACTGAATGCTTACCAAGCACATTCCACTTTGCTTACATGATCTTTTTTAATCCTTGCAGTGAGAAAACTCAAAGCAGTCAAAGACAGATTTTCAAAGCCCATCAGTTTATGTTTCTTCTCATCTTCCTAGTTTCATAGCAATCTACAGATCTTTTATTCACTGAATGCTTACCAAGCACATTCCACTTTGCTTACATGATCTTTTTTAATCCTTGCAGTAATCCTGTGTGATCAGCTGTTTTATAAGTAAGGAGTCTGAGGCTTTGAGAAGCAAGTCTTACCTTTAGTAAATGACAGGCATAATTTAATTTCTATTCATCTGACTCCAAAGTTCATATACTTTCCACTCTACCAATAGAGTAAGAATAG